TATAACAATAACAAAAGGTGTATTCTACTTTGCTAATTACTCGTGTTGTGTAATCAGGATATTACATCTTTATAACACAGAGCCCAAAATTGAATTACATCGGTTCGGTTCGAACTGTGATAAAAATATCTGCTTTTCTCATACATTCTACTGACAAGATTATCATAAATGGAGCTAGACGGATAGGTAAATTTCATTTGACCACTGACAGATAAGTGATTGTGAACTTGAGTCAAACAATTCATGCTTTTGACAAATATCTTTCCAAGTTTTAAATCAAGCGAAACTATAGGAATCGAATTTATTCATTGTTAATAGTAAGCTAGTTTTTTAGGGTTCTCAAATCATTTGTATCTGTATATAAAGCATAGAAAAATCATTCTACTGCATGATCAAGCCAATCGATTCTTCTCTAAGACTAACTTAACGAACTTTCCGTATCAAAATTAATCATAACTTCCACTCTTATCCGCCGTCCTTCAATATGGAAAAAGTCGTGCTTTCATGATAATGTAATTTTAAGCAATATCAATATTATCATCAATAGATACTTTTTAAAATACCTAACATCATGAACTAAAAGTAATTGATGAACAAAATACAGCAATGACGTCTAACATTTGATTTGTAAATGAGGAGTAGTTAGGTACAGTTATTATTCAACGATCTGCATAGAACTGGTCCTTGTCTAGCATGATTATTCAGTTTTCAACGACAAAAACCTCTTTTCTTACTCTTGTTGAAAGTTGACCATAACGATCATTCTCTAATTCATTATAGTTGCTGCCCATGAAAGACATTGGCAACGTTGGGAAATAGTCGTTTGTGTAATAATCTTATGAATTTGAATTCGAATATAACAATTTAAAAGATTGAATTTGAGAGTAAAATAAAGGAATAACGGATAGTTGTCTGATAAAATTGCAATGAATGACTTTGAATTCCACACCATATTCTAAAACAAAATCATCCTTGTTGATAAAGTTGAGAATTCGATTAAAAAGCATTTCTCGTCTTGCAGCAATTTCGATTTCTATGAAGAGAAACCTTCTCTCTCTTATTTTAATAATTTTTCTTGTCTCTATTTTAGACTATCCATTACGTTCTCCATTCAGCACCAACATTCATCCAAATGCTCGATGGCAACAAAATGGTATCATTGTGGCTGGAGGAAATCGACAAGGCAATGGATTCAATCAACTCTCAGACCCATGTGGTTTGTATGTTGATGATGATCAAACAATCTATGTTGCTGAATGGTCGAATCATCGTATTGTGGAATGGAAACGAGGTGCAACAAGTGGCCAAGTGATTGCCGGTGGAAATGGACAAGGAAGTGGAGATCATCAATTGGATAACCCATATGATGTGATTATCGACAAAGAGAGAGATAGTCTCATCATATGCGATACT